TTGTTTGAAATATATATTTTTTTATTCCATTTTCTAATTTAATAACATGAAAGGGGACAAAATGAGAGGATTTGAATATTTAAGACATATTTTGTTAAAAGGTCACTTTTCTTTATTTTTTGTATGAAAATTGCCTTATTTTTGAAAGAGTGAGGTTGTTACTCTTGGAATGTGTATGCGACTCATTTATGTGATTTGTATTCAATTTTTTGAATAATTTTTTAATATTGAATTAAAAAAATATTTTGCCAAATACTTAAGAGATTTATTTATAAGTAAAATCTTTCTTAATTTTTTGAGAAATATTTTTCCAATATTGTTGAATCAAAATTTTTCATATCAATTCGCAATTAAGTCAAAAATTGTCGTAAAAAAATTTTGTCATATTGTTTATATTGGGTTCCGAAATTCAATTCAAAATTTTATTAAATAAAAAAAAATATTAATAAAAAAAAAATCCAAAAACAAAGACAAAAATCTTATTTTGTTATAAAATGTAGGTATGACTTATATTTTCGCGATATACTTGCGAAATTTATCTTTTCTATTTGTAAAATAAAAAATGTACACAGCCGTGTTTTGGAAAAAAAATTTAAACTCCTTTTTTGTATTTAATTTGGAAAATTTTGAAATTTTGCCGTAAACTGGAAATTACTTAAGTGAATAACCTTAATATTGCATAAATCCATCCATACATAAATATAAAGTAAATCTAACGGAATTTTAGTAAAATCAAGTTTCCTTTATTGGAATCAGTTTTGAAGATTACCATATCGTAAAAAAATAATAGAAACGATATGCAAAATTAAAAAAATATGCAATAAAATAAATTTGTATATATTTTTCTTAATTGGAAACTTAAAGTATAAATTCTTTTGTCTTTAGTAGTATTTTTAGTAAAAAATAAAATAAACAATAATTTAAACTATTGCGCTCTCAAATTTTACGCTAGACGTGCGTAATTAACGTACCTTTACATTATTTTAATAGTTACAGTAAGCAAGGTGAAGATTTCTTTGTATTTCGGAATATTTAGACTTATATCATAATTTGCGAAAATTAAGGTATAATTTATAATTATAAAACGGGGATAAAATGAGCTTATTATATATTGAAGACAAAACTGAAAAATAATAACACTTGAGTTGCGAAAAATTAAAAAAAAACGAATATATGAGAAAATTCCAAATTTAATTTAATCTATAAATAGCAAAAGCGTATTGCAATTAAAGAATAAAACTAAATTTAATTAAAAGAGAAAAGAGACACAAAATACTGTGATCCCGAAAATAACTGTTTAGTAAAGTTACAGAAATATAAATAGGATAAGAAGCTACAGAAAAATCGCACAAAAAAGTAACTAAGTAAATTTTTCAAGTTTCAATCGATGTGAAAATGCACATAGGCTCTTCAATAGTACATACATATTTTATTTAATTTCAAAACTTCCAAAATGCAAAATTTACAATGCGTCATATACGTACATATATTAAATAATACGTATGTATATTAAAAGCTCTTGACATTATACAATATTCTAAAATGTATCGAATACGCAGTCGAAACGTAAAATAAAATCAGAGTGTGTAGCGAAAATATTGCGACTGCTTCTTGTAAACATCTGGATATTTTTGTACTAAATGTTAGAAATTTGAAGTTTTTGTGAAATATTTTTCTATAAAAATATTTCCTTTCATGTTATTAAATTAGAAAATGGAATAAAAAAATATATATTTCAAACAAAACATAAGAAATATAAAGAGAAAAAATGGCATACTGTGAAGTAAATATCAAATGTAATGTATACAGTATGTATGAGGATTTGAATATTTAAGACATATTTTGTTAAAAGGTCACTTTTCTTTATTTTTTGTATGAAAATTGATTTAAGAGGTCGTTACTCTTGGAATGTGCACATTTAGTGCCGTGAGAGGCATTTTCCAGTGCAAAATGTAAATTTTTGTGCATTTTGGTTTGTGCTTCTCGTGGACGAAGTGTATGCGAATCGCTTCAGTTACATGGTCACTTTAATGAATTTCAACGTGCATGCGCGTAAATAATTTTTGAAGCAATTTTTGAAGTTCTTTGCACATGAGAAAAATTTAATCTACAAAGTGTACGATAATCAAAGTTTCAATTTTTAATGACATTCAAAAAATTTTAATTAAAAAAAATGCATTCCATTTTTATGTACAATTTTGAATTATTTTTGGATTGCGGATGTGATTGAACGTGCTTTTGAAACTTCATAATTTTTAATTTTTTAAAAATTTTAACTTTCTTTTATTCTTATAAAGTTTTTTACATTTAATTCTTTAGAATATTTTTAAAATATTTTTGGATTTCTTCAAAAAATATAAAAAAATTTGTTTAAACAAAAAAACGGAAGTTGTAGATATTTAAAATTATATCGCCTATTTTGATTACGGTATAGAATGTAAAATTTACAAAAAATTTAAATTTTGTTTAAAGGTTTTTTTTTTTCTCGTACAGCAAAAATTTACAAACTTTTCAAATGCGTTTTTTGAACGTGATAAAAAATTATAACGAAAAATATTTTTAAACTTAAATAACAAGGTTAGAATTTTTTTATGCACACATACATAATACAAGCATGCAGCTACTATATCTTAAATTTACGATAAAATAATAATAGCATACGATTTATGCTGAGTAAGAGAATAACAATTATATTTTTAATTGAAATACGAAGAAAATGCAATGTACATAAAAATTTTCATCGTATACTTAACATATGTTGCGTTAAGTATGCATTCAAAATAACTAATTTTTAAAGCAATAAATAATTTATATAATTTTAAAGCAATCAAAATTTTATTCTATTTTAATTTTAAATTTTCAAAAATTTAACTCAAAAATAACACAATTATAAGTGAAAAATATTTTATATCGTATATTCGTATAGAAAAATATTTCACTCATAAGAAAGCCGGTAAATTTTGAGTTAAAATTTGAGAGTAAAACTTAACATTATTGTATTCAATTAATGAGTAAATTTTTTTTATTTATTATTTTTAATAATGTTAAAATTTGGATAATAAAGTAAAAATATTAGCATTCATATAACTGTTCTAAAATTTAATAGAATTAAAAAATTCTTAGTTAAAATATGAAATTTATTAATTTTTAGCAGACTTTTTAATTTTTTGTTCTCTGAAACCGGACTTTATGTGTTTTCTCTTAATTTAATATTTTTGCAAGAAAGGAGTGTATAAGATCAAACTAATTATGAATTGATTTCAAGAATTTTCGAATTAACAATTTGTATTCGGGAAAAATTTTTCTTTTTTTATTCGAAATATTGCAGGTACACCGTATATTATATACTATATTTATACATATTACAACATGTACGCAAAATGGAACGCTATATTAAGTGTAAGATTTGGTTCATGTCTGCAGGTCTCTGTTATTAATACAGTTGCAGCACGTTTTTATAAATGTACGACATAAAGTATTTAAGATTTCTGCGAGGGTTCTACGAAAGTTATGCTTTATAATTTGCAGCAAAAAATATTGTGCTGCATTAGCTGTTGATTTTTATTTTAGCTATATTTTGCTTTTATAGCCTTGCTTTTGTTGTCATTTTTTAAGTTTTGACATTATTGTTATTTATTGGAATTAATACTTGTTTCTTTGCTTCTATCGAAATCTAGTTCTAATTTTACAAAATTTTCATCAAATCAAATATACAATGATTGTTTCAAGAATGTTTTCATCAAGAAAGGATCAAGAATGTTCATAATTCATGAAAATTCAATTAATTTTGGCAAAATTTTGAAAGAAAAACATATTACAATTTTTAAGTATATTATAAGTTATTTTATAATATAATTACATATATTTATATTTTACATAATATAATAAATTTACATGTAGATATAATTTTATAATTACGAAGACATTTTGTAATTGAAAAAAAATTACCAGTTTAATAAAATTAAAATGAGTTGAAAAATAATATTTTTGAATTTAATTTACACTCAAATTAAAACTCAAAAACTCTTAATATTAAAAAAGTCTCTCATTTTTGTTTTTATTTCTCTCTCTATTTACATTTTTTTTTAAATTTACAGAGATGAAAGCATTAAAAACAATTTATTTTTCTTTTTGCTTTCTGTTATTAATATATATGTTGTGTTTCTGTTAATGTTAACATTAATAACATTAAATGTCTTATTGTTTATTTTGTGAGAAAATAACTTTTAAAATATTCGTGAACTTTTTTTCTTCAATTTTTTTTTATTACATTTTGGGCTTTTAAGTTTTTTATTTTTGTTTTCTTTTAATTTCTTGTCGTTTTCTTCTTGTTATACATTTTCAATTTTTATATCATTTCAATATGAAATTTAGTGCTGGTGGGGTGACTTCATATAAAAACAAGGTGAACCTATACTAAAAACTTCACTTAATTTTGTGATTTTTATAAATATTTTTCAAACTAAAAAGCTCTTTGATAATAAAAATTTGAAAATTAAATTTTGTTATTCAATTAAAAAGGATATTTAAAATAATATAAAAGCAAGAAAATAAAAAAGGAATTATAAAAAAAGTATAAACAAAAAAACTAAAACAAAAAAAAAAAGCAAAACGAAAAAATAATAAAAAGTTAAAGCAAATCAGACTAAGTGGAAATTAAAAAAAAAAAACAAAAAAAAAATAAAATCATGTGGAAAGGCAATTATTGTTGAAGGACGAATTTTTTTAAAATTTTTTTTTTGTAAATAAAAGTGGGATTCTTAACAAAAGAAGTGAAAAAACAACAGCAACCAAAAATAAAAAATAATATAAAATATAAAGAATTTTTTTTTCTTTTGTTTGCAAAAACGAAATTAAAATTTCATTATTTCAAAATTATTTCATAAATTTTTTATTATTAAATAATAATAATTAAATAAATATTGAAAAAAAAGTGAAAATTTTCTAATAAAATTTTAATTTTTATTTAAAAAAAAAATTTTTATTGAAAATAAAAAAAAAATTAATAATAAATTCAAACAGAAATAGATAAAAGATAAATAAATAATTTATTAAAATATTTTCAAATAATTATTAAAGTATATAACAAAATTCAAAATATACAATAGTATAACACTCTCATAAATAAATACTATATAGATAAGGGAAATTATTCCTGGAGAGAATTTTTAGTTTGGATAAATTTACCTGTATATACATATATAAATATATATATTAATAACGCTTTAAATTAAATTTTAAAAATGGTGAGTATTATTTTTCATATATATTTTATTAATTTTCTTATATATGATTTCTATAATTTGTAAATAATATTAAAAATTGCTCTTTAACTTACCCCTATATAATATTAATAAGCGAAGACGCGCGAAGTTATATAACACTATATAAAAGTATAGTATACTCCTAGTATATACAAATAATTAAATGTTAATCAAATACTATAATGCATGTAGTACACAAAATTCGGACGTAAATATTTTATTCGAAAATGCATATATGTATGTAGTTCAGTTATAGAAGATATTATGATTTAATCAAAATATTGTTTATATAAAATTTGTTTATATTGATTATTTTGTAAACAAAATTCTTTTCCTATATACACGATTTTAAGGTGCCATCAATAATTAAATTTTGGCAACTATATAAATAATATTCAATTTTTTCCTTATACGTTTTTACCTTTTCATTATATACATATATAATTATAATTTATTGCGTAAAATTAGATTGACATGCACATGCATATTAATAAAAAAAAAAATAATGTATGTAAGTAATTATTTAGTTGAAAATACACAATTAAAATAAATAAACGAAAAATAAATGAAGAATATGAAAATCATAATTATATAAATTTCATTATTTAATTTTTAAAATTAGTAAATAAAGGATAGATTGTAATTATTTTAAGGTGTTGTTTATTTTGTTTTTGAATATTGTAGACAAAAACATGCATACCAATGTACACGCATATTATATGATTTTAAAAATTTTTTATTTTATTTGTTAATTTCAAAATATTTCAATTTTCTAATATAAATTTCGTTTAAACCTCTAAATGAATTATATTTGTATTTTCAGATTAATCACATTCTTGATTTTTTACAAAAAAGTCTATATAGACTTAAATTTTTTAACCATTTTTAGAAAAGAATTTTTAATAACAACAGCAATACACAAATACAAAAAAAATCATTACAAAAAAAAACTAAACTAAATGATGCTAATTGTGTTAATTTTCAATTTTTCTGTATGTAAAATTAAAAATCCCTGAACTTAAAAAATAGTTTAAATATTTTTACAGTTTAACGCCATTTTAAAAAGAACATCAATAATTCGAAAATATAAATTTAATTTCTGAGTAAATTTGTTGGTAGAACTCGCACCGTCTAACCATCTAATAAGTTAATAACATTCAACAATTTTTAATTCCAAAAATTTGGGTCTTCTTATATAAAGTTCCATAAATAGTGTAGAGCTCATATAAAAATTCATAATTGCCGATTATAAAATGTTTTTCTTTGATATTCTTTGATATTGTTAAAGCTTATAATTTAGTAGTCTTTGTGTTTCATGAAGGAGTTGTAGAAAGTTTGGAGTTGTTTCATGAAGGATTTGTACTGATTTTGAATGTTTCAAAAGGAGTTGTTTCATGAAGGAGTTGTACTGATTTTAAGGGTATTTCTAAAGTCTGGTACGCGTTAGTCACTTAAACCAATTAGTTTTTCAACTTTTTTGAACTTAAGTTTTTCTTGTATATTTTTGTTATTTAAATCATGACTCTACTGTACATTAAATTTTTCGCGATTTTTTTTTTGTAATTTAAATTTGATAATGAAATAATGATAGTTTTTATACTTTTTGGGAACATCATATGCCTTTTTCATTCGCGTATTGTGATAAGCTTTTTCTTTTTAAATAAAATTTATGTTCTTCAATTCGATGTAAGCTTAAATGCTACGTTATTGAATTTTAGATATTTTTTTTATACGTGTTTGATATTTTCCAATCGATTAATATAATGAATTTATGTGTTGAAATTAAAAAATAAAAAAAAATTTAAAATCTATATGAAAATTACGAGTCAACTACTGATTTATATTTTAAATTTTTTAATTTTATCAGAATTAGACTATAATTGCATAGAATATGTTTAGTATCCCATATTTTCCATATTTAGAATAAAATTTAAAAATCTAAATTCTGCTAATTTTTAAATAAAAGAATAAAGATTAAATAAAAAAATAAAGATTAAATATGAGACATTTGCAAAAAAGTTATAGGGAGAAAAAACTTAGTTTTTGTACTTGATACTTAAATTCAAAAAAAAAGTTTTATAAATTTATAATATAATTTAATTTATAATTAAATAAGTATTGATTGTTAATTATAAATTTTAGGAACAATATTTTCCAACAATTTTCTAAAATATTTTGAAAATATTTGATTAAATTACATTGGATGTATCTCGTTTGCATTAAAAAAGTTTCTCTTCTAAATCTTTCCTTTTTCTTTAGAGTAAATAAAGAAAAATTTATAATTAATTTAGAGTCATTTCTTTCAAATGAAAGGCATTCAAATTTCAAAATTATTGATGCTCTCATTCTCTCTAGGACAAATAATAATTTGCACACTAATTGATGAATGGAATTTATTATAAATATTACTTAATTATTACTTAATTAATTTAATTTAATTTATAAAACTAATTTTTTTTTGCATTTAAGCAATTTAATTATTAAGTTAAATGGTACATTAGGTTCATTATTTTCGGTACTTTAATGTAAAATGCAAAGCAGGTTGCAATATTTTTTCATGAAAATTTGACAAAACTAATTTCGAATGATTAGAGTTTGAAAAAATATGTTATTTAAATTCCTATTTCTATGTTATTATATATTCAAAATTCTTAATTGGCTGTAATTTACTATTTACAATGTATCTGTCAAAAATACTGAAAACTTCATTAAAATATAACAATATAATATGTTAACTGTTATAAAAAAGCATTCATTTTTATTCAAATGATAATGATATTCATTTGATAACTCATTCAAATGATTCACATATCACTGAAATTTTTGTTCAAAGAACTCAATACAATTTTTAAATTTAACTCTCAAATACAATTGATTATGAATTCTTACTTATATTTGATTTACAGTTAATTATTATTCTCATCAATTATAATTATATTGCAAATCATTAAGCATGCATTTTTTTCGCAAGATTCTATCGTTAGACTTACACAAAAATATTGAACTTTGAAACCGGAAATCAATGACTGTGACAATTTATTAATAATACAAAACACTTTTATATAAAATAAATATAATTAGAAATATAAATAAAGAAATTCTCAAGAAAAAAAAAAAGAAAAAATAATCATGAATTTATTTTGCTTTTTTGTATTAAAAGTTTCTCATCTTGAATTTCTCTAGGTTAACTGGATGTTTTTCATATATGTATATACACACATAATATCTATAATATATTATGTGTATGGATATGAAAATTCTTTCAAATTTTATTTCTTTTTTTCATATAAAGTACATATTTACATACTAAAATATTTGTGTACGTACTCGTTGTTTAATAAAATGAACATACGTAAGTGTAAATAATTTTTATAAATATAAGTGAGTATAGCAAGTATCTAGTATAGATATAATCAGTAGATATATTTCGATTTTGTATAACGATATGCTTGTTTTTACATATATATACATATACATTAATATACGATTTTTCTTGCCTTGTGAATTAACTGTATAAATTATTTTGAAAATATTATAATTAAAATAAACATTTCCCGGCATCTTTATTTAATTTTCTCTTATATTATCAATGTATTTATAAGTGGCTATATAATGTATGTATAAGTGTCAAACACCATTATTTATATATAATTTTTTATTTAAAATTGGAATATTGAGTAAAATAAAAAAAATTTTTTTATTATTTACATATGAGAATATCATTTATAAATTGAGATTTTTAAATAAAATAATTATTTTGAGCATACATACTCATTTATTAATGATTTTAATTAAAAATTATTCGATTTAATTTTAAATTAATTTTGATAAATCGTCAAATTTGTAAAAATAAATTTAACTACAATTTTATCAGTGTACAGAAAAGTATTGCAATGTAAAATTTTTTTACTACCTATACATACATATTGTACGCACAAAAAATCTATACAAATTTCTGGGTAGTTAATACACACGAACAATTGTATTTGCATATTAGTTATATTTACAAATTTAATTTTTATTTCTATGTGTCATAGTACATATATAGACATGTTAGTGTAGATGGAATAGAGTTTCTTTGTCAACATGAAATATTATTAACCCCTTAAATAATTAATTTATTTATGTATATCAAATTGAGTTGGTTGCAATGACATGTAAAATAATTTTTGCGATTTAATTTCCTTATGGACTTAATTTGGGGATTTTTTATTTTTTTCAACTGAAACTTTTTTACACACATTTGCATATGCATGTACAAATGTTATTGTACACAATTATATAATATAATTATTAATTGTTATTATCTATAAAAAAAATTAATTTTAAATCTAAATTCAAAATATTTTTGATGTAAAATTTTATTGTACGTGTACTAATAAGTTTCAAAAAAATAATAACAATAACGTCCTATGCATCTATCTGCCCGCACGCGGCGGGGCATCAATCGTATTTTAAGGTAACATTTTGTCATGGTGAAAAATACAAGAACTGGGAAATGAAATCAAGTAAGTAAATATTAATATTTAGTAAATAATGTTAATTATTTGCAAGACCATCACGCAGCTATGCTTAGAAAATATATGCAATAGAAGTTCAAGTTCGGTCATAGCTCAAAATAGCATTTGTATGTGTTAAGAATGCTGATTATAGCTTGGAAGTAAGGAGTAGGAAATAACTGAAAACAAGCATGCAGAATAAAATAAAACTAAAAATAAAGTAACGACTCAAAACTACCACTTAGTTAGCCATAAAATACTAACATTCAGTATCAATAATTGCCAAAATATTGTAGTTAGTACCCAGGTCAGAGGCTGTTGAGACATTGAACATAAAAAAAATAAGAAAGAAAAGCGGAACAGTAAAAAAGCACAAAGCAACAGTGACAGCGTCCAGGCTTTATTCCGTTGAAAAATATGTTATTATAAAATATTGTTATTTTCAACATTAGTTTAAATTTTAATAAATAAAATCATTATGAA